TGTCATTGACCAACTATTGCGAGAACGTCGTGAGGCTATTGCTAATGAGCAAATGATGCAGCGATTAGCATCAGAGCAAATTGATGTAGCTATGCCTGGACGTGGGCAAGCACTGGGCTCATTACACCCTGTGATGAAAACATGGGAGAGGGTTGAAAAAATTTTTGCTTCTATGGGCTTTCAAGTTGCAGATGGCCCTGAAATTGAAGACGATTGGACAAATTTTACCGCCTTAAATAGTCCAGAAAATCATCCTGCACGCTCGATGCAAGATACATTTTATGTTGAGGATGGTTTGCTGCTCAGAACCCATACCAGCCCAATGCAGGTACGTTATGCTAGAGATCATGTTAAGCGTTATGAAAATCAATTGGTGATGCCAGATATTAAAATTATTGCACCAGGTAGAACCTATCGTGTTGATAGTGATGCGACCCACTCACCGATGTTTCATCAAGTCGAAGGTTTGTGGATCGGAAAGAACACAAATTTTGCTGACCTCAAAGCTGTTTATCAAGGGTTTTTAGAAGCATTTTTTGAAACAACCGCATTAAAATTGCGCTTTAGACCCTCGTATTTTCCTTTTACTGAACCATCTGCAGAAATTGACATTGCCTTTGACAAAGGCAATTTGGCGGGACGCTGGTTAGAAATTTCAGGTGCGGGGCAAGTACATCCAATTGTGCTGAAAAATTTTGGTCTTGATCCAGAAACATACATCGGCTTTGCCTTTGGTTCTGGTTTGGAACGTTTGACGATGTTGAAGTATGGTGTGGATGATTTGCGTTTATTTTTTGAAAACGATCTGCGCTTTTTATCACAATTTCATTAAGTTAATTTTTGTGTTTATTTGCCAAAAAACACACAAAACATTTTAAAACAAAGAGATATATTATGTTGATTGTCGAATCATGGCTACGTAGTCAAGTCAATCCTGCATTAGACATCCAAAAGGTTGCCGATCATTTAACCATGGCAGGTTTGGAGGTTGAAGGACAAACGGCTGTTGCCAACGCGTTTACAGGGGTTGTCGTTGGCGAGGTGTTAACGGTTGAACCCCATCCTAACGCCGATCGTTTACGAGTTTGTCAAGTCAACGTTGGAGAAGCTACTCCCCTATCTATCGTGTGTGGAGCCCCCAATGTCGCTCCCAATATGAAAGTGCCATGCGCAAGAATCGGTGCAGAAATTCCTCTAGATAGTGGTGATGTACTTCACATTAAGTTAGGCAAACTGCGCGGCGTTGAGAGTCACGGTATGTTGTGCTCAGCCAAGGAGCTGGGGATGATACAAATTCAAGATGGTTTGTTGCAACTTGATGATGATGCTCCAGTAGGTATGGATATCCGTCAATATTTGCAACTTGATGATACTATTCTTGAAATCAAATTAACTCCCAATCGTGCCGACTGTTTATCGGTGCGCGGTATTGCTAGGGAAGTTTCAGCCCTGACAGGATCGTCGCTGGTGGTGCACAAGACTCCTGCTGTTGCTGTGAGCTTGGAAAAACGCCTGCCAGTTCACATCACAGAGCCCAATTTGTGTGGTCGTTTTAGCGGTCGCATCATTGAGGGCGTTAATGCCAAAGCAAAAACACCCAGCTGGATGATTCAGCGTCTGGAACGAGCAGGGCAGCGTTCAGTATCTGCCTTGGTCGATATTTCCAATTATGTGATGTTAGAAATTGGCCAACCCAACCATATATTTGATTTGGATAAACTTACTGGAGACTTGTGTGTTCGTTATGCTAAAGCACAAGAAGAAGTTGTTTTATTAAATGGTAAAACGGTTAGTTTGCAAGAAGATGTTGGCGTGATTGCAGACCAAATAGGGGTGCAGAGCTTAGCGGGTATCATGGGGGGAATGCATAGTTCAACCTCAGACCAAACTTGTAACGTGTACGTTGAAAGTGCGTTCTGGTGGCCATCATCCATTCAAGGGCGCTGTAAAAGATTGGGCTTGACAACCGATGCTGCACATCGCTTTGAGCGTGGTGTCGATCCTCAAAATACAGTCTATGCACTTGAATATTTATCACAACTCATTATAGAAATTTGTGGTGGTATAGCAAGTATTATTGATGATCAAATCATCAATATCCCGACGACCAATCCCGTTAACATGCGCTTATCTCGAGCTCAAAAAATCACTGGGATTGACTTTACGGAAAAAGATGTCTCAGAAATTTTTGATAAGTTAGGGTTTTCTTGGGAAAAAAATGGCGATGTTTTTAAAGTTACCGCACCGAGTTGTCGTTTTGATATTGAGCGAGAAGAGGATTTGATTGAGGAAGTCTTGCGGATTTATGGCTATGATAATCTTCCTGTTCGCCCTCCCATTGCACCACAGCAGTTTTTACCTGTACCCGACCAAGTTCGTAGCGTGCACGACCTACGGCACTTATTAATGACGATCGGATATCATGAAACAGTGCATTACAGTTTTGTGCCAAAAAGTTGGGAGCAACAATTTTCTGAAAATACTAAGCCAATCCAATTGTTAAATCCCATTTCCGAAAACATGGCTGTGATGCGGTCACAACATTTGGCATCCCATATAGATACTTTGATTCACAATTTAAATCATAAA